TTGGAGTGGAAATTAGAAAAAGTGAAAATGGAAATGAGAGTTTTAATGAAAACTGAAAAAAGTAGAAATGGAAATAGAATTAGGAGTGGAAATCAGAAAAAATGGAAGTGGGTTTGAAAATTAGAAGAATTGGAAGTGGGAATTGAAATTGAAAAAAATGGAAATTGAAGTGGGAGTGGAAATTGGAAAAAGTGAATGTGAAGATGGAAGTGGTAATGGAAATGGAAACAATGGACATAGGACAATTAAGTGGATACAAAATAAAAATTTTAATTCATGTAATCACGAATTATTTTAAAAGACAAATTATATAGCTCGCATTTAATAATAATAAAAGACTTCTGTCTCATAGAACTTTTTCTTACATTGCGGGTAATAAGAAAAGTCAGCATTATTCTATACTGGTTATCATTATAATTTCCTAATCTTTAAATCGCTTAAAGCTGTATATTTCTGTATCTTATTAATCTTAAACTAAAATATAATTTAATAACTATAACTGAGACGAGTAAGTTATCTTGAAAAGTTAATTTTTCATATCCCACAACTTAAATTAGTTTTTTGTATAAAAATATTTCATGACAAACTTCATTTTTTTTTTTGTTTAGTCAATTATCTCTGTCGTATGATTATTAACTTATTGGCTCTTTCAGGAACTCATTGCACTTTATGATCAGTCTTTTTCTCCCTATTCATAAGAAACTCACGTTATTTGAATCACTTTTTCGCGTGTGTCGGTAGAGAAAAAATTTTTCTCTTTTGATGTATTACAGATCGTTGATCTTCTAGAGAACTTTTAAACTCTTTAAATGGGAATGCAAAAAAAAAAAAAAAAAAAATTGTAAAAAGCAAAATGCGTATCCACTACCTTTGTTTATTTGACATGAAATAATTGAACTAATGTGTTTTTGAAAATATATATATATATACCAATGTAAACGCTTACAATAAATTTCAAATTTTAGATGGTTATTGTACACAAGTTTTAGGATAAATTAAATGCTTGTAAATAGAATGAACCATATATATATTGTAATAGAAATAAATGGACTTTAGTAAGGATAGATGGCGTAGTATTAGAAGCGATTCTATGGTTTTCGGGACTAGGAAAATCCAATTCACAAACTGGAAGGTCGCAATTCGAAAACAAGTAGTCGAATGAAGTACCTTCGGGATTTGGAGCTTTCGTGTATTACTATATAGCGTCTCTAAGGCGCGATCTATCGTACTATTGACCGCCTCTCCATTATCGGGTTAGTAATACTCTAATACGCCAGCCACCCTCATACAAACTCCGACACTTGCTTTTGTTACGTTATCGTAGGGCAGTGAACAACTTTTGGAAAGATTGGAGATGACCCACGTCTTTACGATCCCCAATCATATGTATTGTAAACAGATTTCTATAAAAAAAGAAATATATAATCTACAGATTTTTTTTGTCTTGAAGCATTTTACTTCTTTTTAAATTATTAAAAAGTTATGTATCATCAGTTGCCAACCACTTTTTCTGATCATTTTTCAAAAAGTATTTTTCCATAAGTGATCAGCTGCTAGAATTAATAATTTTCTTTAAAATACTTTAAAATCTTTTCCAAATCAGTGAAGGACAACTCAGTCTGGTCCTAGCCGTCAAAAGGGACATCCACTAATTTCAACCACGTCCGAAAAGCATTCAGTATAATGCGCGTTCCACACTTAAACCTTTTGGAGATCCGATGCGACGTGCCCCCTTCAGTGACTCTGCGCATAGGGGAAGTGAGTGTTTCTCAGTTAAATGCTTCTCGCTTTAAATCATCGTTAATATAAAAAGTAAATTATTATTCTTATAACAACAATTAAATCATATGTTAAATTTAAAAGATTTAATATGTTTCAGAAAATTTTGTGAATTTGAATTAAGTGATTATTTATTTTAACCAATTATTAACTATTATAATAAATTAACTGTATTCATACCGATTTATTTTTGTATTTAAAACAAATAACATTTTCTTCTATCAAGTAACATTAACTTAATAGAATAATTTCATTTTTAAATTTAAATGTAAAAATAAATATAATTTATGTCGAAATGTAATATTTTTTCTGAAATTTAAAACTATTCATTTTTAAATACAGTAAAATGAAAATTTCGTAAAAATTATAAATAAATAACGCTATTTCTATTAAAGGCCACCTATACATATATTTTTAAAACGCCTACCTAATATATTATTTATTACTGTTTATATGTATATAAAATTAATTTATGAAAAATACATGTATAAAAAAAATCATTATTAACAATAAATTAAAAGAAATATTCTCTTGACTAATAATAATTAATTCCATTAAAAAAATTTATGAATTAATACTTGATTAAATGTCAAATTTATTTGAATTAAATATTCACAAAATTTTCTGAAACATATTAAATCTATTAAATTTACCATATGATTTAATTGTTGTTATAAGAATAATAATTTATTATAATAAAGATGATTTAAAGCGAGAAGCATTTAACTGAGAAACACTCACTTCCCCTACGCGCAGAGTCACTGGAGGGGGCTATCATTAACACACTTTTGAATCACGTGTATAACATTTTATTCTTCTAGCTTATTGAATAAATGTGTAACTGTAACATGTTGTGTTCTCACTGTGTTTTAAACCCTTGATTTATTTCTCCAATATATTTAATAATCCTAACTGAAAAAACCATCGATTGCAATTCTGGACTTCTGGGTATTGCAATCCAAGTCGCGGTTCTCAAGTATGATTCTTTGATCGGCAGAAGGAGACAACTCCGATTTTTCTCATGGTGTCTTTCTGTTCTGCAGTTTGTGTTGATAAGTCTCTTGTGTTTTCTTAAGAAGAGCTTGAAGATTATTCAGTCTGTTTTTGATGGTGCTGGAAAAGTAACTGGATAAGCTAGGAAGCAGCAAGGTGACAATCCTAGAGTACCCAAATGTTGTGGGAGAAAACTCGCAGTTGTAATTATTGAGCCAGACAAATCAGACAGGCTGGAGAAATTAAAATTCATAAAAATTTGTTGTCCAATTAGAAAAAAGAATGATGGTAGTAAAAATGTCATCAATACGTCGGGTACGGCCACTTAGCCAGAGACTGTAAAAATGGAGGGCTGATCATCTGCGTGCTTTATGATTGGAGTAACCTACACTAAAAAAGTCTTGGGCGATCAGTAGTTCCAACAGTGGAAGTAGCTCTTTCCTTTGGAGTGTCTAGAGCATGATTTTGAGCGACCTCTATGCTCAGTGTTGGACGAGCAGATGTTCCACATTATTGTTACCAAGATTTGGTGATGCTGCAGCATCAGACTTAGGCACTCAGAGTATGCAGTGAAGGATTCGGAGTCAGGAAGTATAATTGGGCAGGAAGTAGTATTGGTAACAGAAGGGTCGTGGAAGCTAGGTTTTAAGAACCATCATCTACGAAGACTTAAACCGGAAGATAATTCCATAAGTAATTTATAAGTTGAGAAAACCTAGAGAAAGGCTTTTTTGGTATAGTAAGGGCGGCTTCAGAAGTATTTCGTTTCAGTACTACAGTGCCTAATTTTGTTTTGGTCGAAGATCCAACAATACTAATACAACACTCCAAAAAATAGCTAAAACATTACTCCTAAAAATTCGGGCTACAAAATATCCTATCCACAAATGTTAATGACCGAAAGGTCGATCGACATTTTTGGGGCAATCTGTGCTTTAAATACTCCTTCCTGTTCATACACAATGATAGTTGGAACGTTTAAAGCGGCGTTGCTGCTCTCCTTCATTCGTAGGTCACCAAACATTATCTCCCATACCAGGCGCTTGATGATTGGAACCCATGAGGAATTTATCCGTAGTACTACTCTGTAGGTATGTTCCGTCATCGACTTTTTTGGCAAATAAATCCGCGGATAAAATGATATCTCTAGGACATCCTGAATATCCGGATGCTGCTAGGATTTATTTGTAGCTTTAATAAAGATAAATTAAGTGTTAGAATAATACGGTTGGGGCACGTTTATTTTTATTATTAATCGTTAAAAGATTCCACTGTTATATAATACAAAATTATATCTTTCTTTTAATAATTAATTTTTGAATTTTAAGAAAAGTCAATATAATTTCACTGAATAGCAGGAGCCATTTTTTATTTGAAATGACAAAAAAAAACATTTTACAAGGTTAAAAGAGTGAAACATAAAGAGACTTTTTTTACAATACAGTCCATAACTCAATTTGTAAATGTTTAACTCATAAAGATGCATATATATATTTAAACAAGGCACTTTTAAAGCTACGCTATAATCATAATACTAAAGTTGCTACCTGACCTCAAAAGAAATAAATTTTTATAACTCTTTAAGGACCACGATACCATTTTGCTTGGTCATGAAACTTTATTTATACAGAATTGAATAAAATGACAAGAACAACATATAAAGACAGGGATTATATTATTAACGTTGAGTTTTATTTTGCTGATTTAGTCATTACTTTTATTTGTTAACTAAATAAAAAGATAAAAGAAAAATTGTAATTTTTCATAAAAAGAGTATTTTTTTTTTTAAATATCAATGAAAATGAATAGAATTTTTTCATTTTATTAATTCATAACGATAATCTGTGATTGTGGTTGCGAGCTTTTAGTTCAATTATAAACAAAAGCGATAATAGTGTGGCGTCAGCGGTTGCTAACTTTTATTGAAAAATCATTAGCCTCGTCACATCTACCTCGTAAAAAATGAAAAACGACAATTGTGATCATACCGTGTGCACTTCCACCACCCATCTCAAACAGATGTGGCGAAATGTTAGGGTTATATAAATGATATTCTTTCGCACGCAAATGCTGATATTGATTCAAATCACATTTTCAAGTCTAAAATTAAGTTTACATTTTTAATTTTAATCAAAATGACAAAAAAAAAAATTTTTTTTTTAAACAAAAATTTAACATTTAATTTTATACAATTAATCAAAATTGGGATAAATAATAATTAATAGTAGTAAAAATAATAATTAAATATATTTTCTAAAATAAATGTTGATATTTAATAAATTTCTTTTTAATAAAAGAAAAGAAAATAAAAATTCGAATCATCAAATCTCATCACTTAATCTTCTTCAGTTTCAAATCATCTCTTGATAATCTATAGATTGGGTTGTTATCTCTATAGGCTAGAGGATTTTCTGCCTCACGTTCCGCGATATCAGCCAGCAGTTCCTTCTCTGTAGCTTCTTCAATCTTCTTTCCTATTCCATAAAATGTCTTCTCAGTATAAATGCGATCTTTCAGTCTGAAAGTTCCATGAATCTATAAAGAAGTATAAAAATGAATTCTCTCTTTTTTTTATCACCTCATTGAAGTGATTTATGAAAGTAATTAAATTTGCATGTTTTTAAAATTTCCAACGCTATGAACAATAACTATTATAATTTTTTTTTTGTTCTTTTTTGGAACATAAAATTCACCTTATCCCAAATAAAGCAATTAAATCCAAAATTAACATGAAAATATTGATGATGATTATCGTGGAAAATGGCATCAGGTTGCCATGGTTGCCACCAAAATGCTTTGAAGTTAACCCCGGAATGGTCAATGATTCCATGATAATAATTGTACAGTGATATCACACAATATGGCACTGTAAACATATAATAAAATTAATTAGCTAATGAAACATTATATCCCTCTAAGTATAATTGATAATAATTGTTATAACATTTTCAAAATTTTATTTTCCTATTTTTATAACTAATATCATTTTAGATAAACTTAAACAAATATATAACATTTGTGATCTATATTGTTCTATTGATAATATAATTAATATGCAACATTAATTAATTAGAGAGAATATCTAATTTTTTTGGCCTATAAATACACTGAGAAAAAAATTTTTTTGATTCAAATACTTCAAATTATTTCAAAAATATTTAATTGGATCAAAAACTTTTTATTTGGATCAAAAAAATATGTATTTGATTCAAATAACTTGAATTATTTGAATCGCATTTATTTGAATCAAATAAATCGTATTTGGTTTAATTCAATAATTAATTAAATTGAATAAATGAATTTATTTAATACGAATAATGAGATACTTGAAAGTATTTATTCAAATATTTCGTTTATTTGATACAAATAAAAAGTATTTGATACAATAAATTTATGTAATTGATTCAAATAAATTGTATCATTTAATACAAAATAATTCGTTACTCAATTCTAATACACTATTTTATCAAGACAAATAAAAAAATATTTCAATCAATTAAATATTTATTTGAAACGATAATAATGATTTACTTAAAATAATTAATTTATTTCACTAAAATATTTCGTTTTATTGAAACAAATAAAAAGTATTTGATACAATAAATTTATTTAATTGATTCAAGTCAACTAAATTATTTAATACTAATACACTATTTTATCAAGACAAATAAAAAAATGTATTAATCAATTAAATGTCTATTTAAAACAAAAATAATAAGTTACTTGCATCTATTAATTTATATATTTTTCTCAAATTTTTCATTTTTTTGATACAAATAAAAAGTATTTGATACAATAAATTTATTTTATTGATTCTAATTAACTAAATTATTTAATATAAATAATGCGTTATTTAATGTTAATACACTATTTTATTAAAGGAAAATAAAAAATTTTTATTAATTAAATATTTAAGTGTAATGAGAATAATGATTTATTTAATACTACTCATTTATTTATATATATATATATATATTATTTAATATTCTAAGTCCAAAAGTCAAATATTTTTTCATCAACATAAAATTAATGTTTACAATGATTCAGAACAACGAAAAACGCGTTTTTAATAAAAATATATTTACACTTTTTTTGAAAATTCACCTGGGATGTTTCATGATAATAATCATGAAGCTTATAATTAATTATATTTTATTAATTGCATTTAATTGGAAAATATAATTTAATATCTTAATTTTAACTAAATGATGTTAAGCACTTTTCTGAGTTAGGTCTTTTACAAGTTTAAATGACATCAAGAAGTTAACATTCGTTTTCACGTAGCGTGCGTAGCGTAGTTGGTAACGCTTTAGACTCATAATCCGTAGGCCGTAGGTTCGATTCCCCCCATGCGTTAGATTTATTTATTTCTCAGGATTGCGTTTAATCATTAATTCTATGTATGAATTAGTTGAAAAATGAAAATATCCGATCATAGTATGTAGAAATTACATATTTTTTAATTTATTTATTTAAGTAAGAATTTAATTTAGAAATGGAAGAATTAGTAAATAAATATGTTATTTATTCAATTCAAATTTTGATTTATTTGAATCAAAAAATTCTTAAATTTTATGCAAATAAATTATGTATTTGGATCAAATAAAATAATAATTGCCGCAATTAAAGAGGTTTTAGTTTCAATTAAAACAATTACTTATGACAAATAATCAAGTATTTGATTCAAGAAAATTTTTCATTGTTTTAAGAAAAATATTTTATTATTGCAAATAAATATTTATTTAAATGGAATAATTTTCATAATTGATTCAAATAATTATTATTCATTAGCTTTGAATATTCCACATATTTGATTTGAATACTTTGTATTTGATTCAAATAACTATTTATTTGATACGATAAAATAAAATACTTAGATTTAGTAAATATGTATTTGGATCAAATACTTTTTATTTGATCCAAATAAATTTTTTTTTCAGTGTATAGAACCGTGTTCTTTTATAGCCTCGATTGTGTGAATATATAGAAAAATTCTATAAAAATGAGCCTCTTAAAGTGGTTTCCCCTTTTAAATTTGATAAAAACGATTGACAAAACATATTGAAAAATTATAAAAGTCAATGAAATTCTTGTAAAAAATTTAGGAAAATATTTTTTCTTTATAGTAAAAAATATTTTGAATGAATTGCCCTCTCACATATATAAATTCAATATTGATATATGAGTAACAAATCGGCTTACAAAAGAACACCATGATGTCGGTTTGTTTTCAATCGAATCGGTAATACGTGCAAGGACTTGCAGGAAAGTACCTCGTCAAAATCAGAATAAAGGACCCGTAGGGATTTCAGAATGAGATAAGACGGTGGTAAAATATTGAGTTCTTGCGTCCGCCATGTAAAATAGTACCTATTCGTGGGCTACGAAGGCTAGATATTTCATCCCCGACGTCTTATTGGATTCGTTTCTCGACTCGTGGAAAATTCAAATTAGAGACTTTTGCAAGCAAACTGAATGAAAAAGAAAGTCTGTAAACGGGTTAGTGATTTCTCTACTCCTCTATTTGCGATAAATTAAAATTTGATCATCACCCAGTGACACGTCAAGAGTTTAATTTATGAAGTTTCTTTTTTATCTATATATATAGAGAGAGACACACAGAGAGAGAGAGAGAGAGAGAGAGAGAGAGAGAGAGAGAGAGAGAGAGAGAGAGAGAGAGAGAGAGAGAGAGAGAGAGAGAGAGAGAGAGAGAGAGAGAGAATAAGAGAAAATTCTCTAGAGACAGGGAAATAGAGAGATAGAGTTAATGTAGCCTTCACTACAAACTTATTTATTATATAATCTCCCAAGATAACAATTTATATGCGATCTATACAAGCAGGAACGCCGCAGAGAGTGATTAGCACGAAGTGCTTGCAGAAATGCTCTGCACTTGTGCTTGCTGATTATAATAGAGGCATTAATGCGAGATTATTGAGACGCATTGCGCTATCGTTTACATGTGACCCTTATATCATGTTACAATTGTACGCAAACCCCTTGATGCTTTGGTACAATACTGAATATATTAATTATTCAAATTAATTTTTGTAATTAATTAAAATTTATGAAATTTTTTGAAGCACACAAACAATAAACCATGATAAATAACGTATGATTTTATTTATTATCCCAAAAAGATGATTTCCTAACCTTTCATAATAATTAGGCAACGCTTTAAACGATTAAGGAATTTTACCTGTGATATAAAAACACTAACTAATGGATTAATAAATTTTAAATATGTACCGATTTTGAAACGTTGAAATTTTTTTTTATCTTTTCTAAATTATTCACTTTCCAAAAGCAAAAAAAAAAAAAAAAATTGTTTCAAATCTTTATATACTCGATAAATGAAAAAAAAATTTCTACTCCGAAATTCTCGGAAAAATACACGAGGAAAATGAAATAAATTTATCAGCTCTCTAAAAACCTCGTAAAAAAACTATTTTATTGAGTGACTTTATTGTTTTACATATGTTGAAAAAAAACTGGCAAAAAAATACGTTATTTTTATCATCTTAAAATCTAAATTACTCGAAAACAAAAAATCAAAAATATAAAAAAGTTTGCTAAAGTTTTGTACGCGCAATATTAAATACTGTAACAAACCAGTTTGTTACTTAATTATTATTCGCTGCCCTTCCGGGTGATTTTCCCAAATAATATATAATTTGAATTTGAACAGTTTTCCCGCGCTACTACCAACTTAAATATGCATGAGTGGTACGCGTGAAAAATTAGCAGACGACAAAAGCACATGAATCCGGCTACCGGAAATTCATATTCAGAGAGAGAAAATAGCGTTCTCATAGTTAAGTGGCGCTAACCAATATTATTAATAGTCATCTCTGCGCAGTTAAAAATAATTATTATTGAGATTCAATAAGTTAAAATAAATTAAGGATATTCAAACTATATTAGCGCAATATTTTTTCGATTGACATAAAATAATATTAATTAACCAATAAAGGACCATAGCGCAATTTTGATTCTCTCATCTAGATAATCAAGGTAAGTCCAATTTACTTATTCCTTTTAAAGTGGTTATATTTCTCTTTCAAATATGTCTCTCAACAGTCATATAATTAATGACTAATAATTATAATTGTTATTCCGGAAGAATTCTCAACTTTGTGCCATCCGTATAAGTCGGACCCCTTTTAACTAATTTTATATGGTTTGCCATAATACCAAATTGTGGAATCCGAAATGTGGAAAATGAAATGCGAAATGTAGAATACGGAATATGTGGAATCCGGAATTTGGAATACAGAATGTATAAAGTGGAATCCGGAATGTGGGATCTAAAAAAGGATAACATAATTGACCCTTTGTTTTTAATCGTATAATCCCCACTCCTGGTGTTCCTTAAGAGCATTTGAACCTTCGTGACGTCACAAATCATGGCGCATGACACGCAAACTTCTCAGGTATGTGAAAAGCACAATTTTGAATATTTTTTAAAAAAACCTTTTGGAAAATGTTCAGAATAACATAGACTCTGTCTGTTATGTGCGGAAAATTCTAAATTTTGCGTTTAAAACGTTTTTTAAACAATGTTTAAGTTGGTTGTCACAAGTAAGGAAAAATACACGAATTGCTTATATGTAGGCATTGTTTAAAAAACGTTTTAAACGCAAAATTTTGAATTTTTCGCACATAACAGACATAGTCTATGTTTCTCTGAACATTTTCCAAAAGGTTTTTTTAAAAAATATTCAAAATTGTGTTTTTCACATACCTGAGAAGTTTGCGTGTCATGCGCCATGATTTGTGATCTTAACATTGTTTAAAAAACGTTTTAAACGCAAAATTTTGAATTTTCCGCACATAACAGACAGAGTCTATGTTATTCTGAACATTTTCCAAAAGGTTTTTTTAAAAAATATTCAAAATTGTGCTTTTCACATACCTGAGAAATTTTACGTGTCATGCGCCATGATTTGTGACGTCACGAAGGTTCAAATGCTCTTAAGGCTCTTCCCTTGGTTCACCATTATTTTATTTATATATTAATAACTTGGTTTTAGACATAGAATCTTATATTCTTATTTTTGCAGATGATGTAAATTATTATTATTATTAATTATTCATTCTACTTTAGACGTAAAGACTCTTCAATCTGACTTAAACAAAATTCTTTTATGATCAAAAAATAATTTTGCTTACCGTAAATGTTAAAAAGTGTCATATATTTTCTGCTACAAGAAGTAAGGAACCATTTTATAATAATCATAAAATAGACAATACCGTTTTAGAAAGGGTGTTTTCTACTTGTGATCTCGGCGTGACCTCTGATGACCGTTTGTCATAATTTAAAGATTAGATTTTAAGGGTGATAGCATCTGCATCCCCACTTGGAAAGACTCCCCGAAAAGTGCCCCCTGGAGGTTCTATCAGAATTCCGCCGGAACTTCCAACGTAATTCCGTCGGAATTTTATCGGAGTTCCAAAGAATTTCCGATTAATTTTTTCAAAATTTTTAGAGTCCTAATTCCGTCTGAATCCCATCGGAAATTCTTTGGAACTCCTATGAAATTCCGACGGAATCACGTTGAAAGTTCCGGCTGAATTCTGATAGAACCTCCAGGGGTCACTTTCCGGGAAATCTTTCCAAGTGGGTCAAAAGCTCTTGGTCAAGATTATTAAAAGGTTTTAAAAATCGATCAACATTATAATATAATACTATTTGACTTAGACTACAGGAACTAATTTTGTAAATAAATAAATATTTTTAAGAAATATTTGTGAAAATGCACAAATATTGAAAATCAATAAATTAAAGTAAATACTTACCCCAATGTAGAGGGAAAAAAAATAATGGTAGAAACATGCTAAATTGAATGTGTAAAATTTCCACTGGATGAATAGCGGTGACAGAAAATGCCGTCGGTTGCTTATACTTATGATGCAGCTTGTGAAAATTTTTGTAAAGCCATGGCGTATGATAAGTGCGATGTATCCAATACATCAAATAATCCTACAATCAGTAAAAGAAATTTCAGTCAAAACATATATATACATATATAAATATACATATATGCATATATACTTTTCCAATAGTTATATAATCAGATGACAAATGTTTTCAATCGAAAGTATGGAAATTCGCCAAAGCTGTTATAGATAGACGAGAGTTGTCTCAAAAGATTCTTATATATGTTTCATAAAAAAAAAAAAAACTTTCAGTATTTCTATACTAAATTCCCCTATAGTATGAGAAAGGGACTATATCTATAAGAGTATTGTCCAAATTTTTAGCCAAGGTAAGTAAGCTAAATTTTATCAAAAAATATTATGTTTTTTGTCTGAGAAGTAAAAAATTGAATATCACTATTTATTAAAAAAAAATAGAAAATAGAGGAGAAAAATTTAACAATTTTAAAAGGAAGATTCATTTGGTAGAATAAGCTTGTATAATTTTATGTGACTTGAATAGTGTTCTCTCGTGTCTCTTTCGCTATTGCTTACATCGTATGCATTTCAAACCTGACACACGTAACCAACCTGTAATCCAATCCTGCTGGTAGTACCCTTTCAACGCTCTGTCAGAGTTGAGAAAATCTAGATTTACTTTTATAGTTCAGCATTATATCGATTTGTTATAAACTGAATTTTATCAACTTCTTATATTGTATATAAAAAAGTGTTCTTTTTATTTTTAAATGAAGAACTCTTTTTTTTAATGTGCAATTTTTAACAAAAAATTTTAATAAAATTAATTAGATGATACAAATTATGTATTACCAAAAAAATGTCTTTCAACAAAAAATGTTTTTTTTTTTTGTTCATCTAAAATGAAATTTCTCTTTTTAGTCCGTTTTTTCTATACTTTTAATTTAGACTTCACTTTTTTATAATGGGAAATTAAGGCAAAATAGTGCCATTAATGGATTTTTTTTTCCGCGAGCATTTCAATATACCATTCCTGAGTCCAATAAGTACTATTTGAAAGAGGATTCAACCACCTGTTAATTACTTTGAAAGCGAGTAGTCGACGCCGAAATTGGATTCGAGTGTGGCAGCAGCTGCTACGTAAAACTGTGATTCATTCAAGTGTTACTCAAAATTACCAAAGTGAAGCGTTACGTATAATGAATTTAATGAAAATCTCATTACCCAGAATTAGAAGATAATAATTAAAGCTTCAATACAATTAACACCTTTTCTCAATTTCCTATAAAAGCAATCGTAAAAGACATTTCTTATCTATATAGGGAGAATTTTTTTTTCTCCCCTTTTCAAGTACATGAAATTATGAAAAAAAATGATTTCAATCACAGAAAAAAAGGTAAAGGTAAAGGATAAATTTGTGATGGATAAAAATGTTACTTAAATATTACTAGAAAAATGGATGTCATATTTGAGTAAACTGTCTAATTTTAATAAAAATATTAGTAATTTTACACTTAACTTATTAAATCCACAAATGCATACTGAATATTGTTTAATAATGTTAAAATGTAAAATGTGATTAGTAAACAAACTTTTCTAACCTCAATATTTATATTTTATCACGAATTCAGAAAATCTATCAATGCAAATGAATCAAATATATAATAAAATTAATTATCAACACACATTTTAATTTTATTATATATCAACAAGCGTTTTCCGTGTTTAAAGTATGAATAAAATTGATGAAAGTGGAAACAAATTTTCTTCCCCATAAGAATAACATTGTGTCGTTTGTTTGTTATCCCTCCAGGCTTCTGACGTCAAACCTAGAATCGACTCTGACGTCACAAGTGATAGAGCCTAATATGCACAAAAAATTCAGTTACTACCCAACTCTGCTTTCGTGCAACAATACAGACGTTATAATTTCCCAGATCTGATTATTTACGTACTGTCGTCAGCTGTCAGTTGTATTAGTCAAAGATATTTTTATTAATAGACAATAATTATAGGAAAAACATTTCCACGTGCAATTAGTTATTTATATAAAATTTGTGGATTTAATAAGTTAAGTGTAAAATTACTAATATTTTTATTAAAATTAGACAGTTTACTCAAATATGACATCCATTTTTCTAGTAATATTTTAGTAACATTTTTATCCATCACAAATTTATCCTTTACCCTGTATCCTAACGACTTTTATCCTCTATCTTTACAACTTTTTATCCACCTTTTTTTTGTGTTTTGATTTTTAATTAATTTTTTGATCAACAGATAATTTAGTTTACAATTAGAAATAATTGGCAATATAATAACTGTTAATTTTCATAAAGTACATAATGAGGTTAGAGAGCTAACAGACACGTCTAATTTAATTATAACTCGCTCAAGTCAAGCATATAGCATTACATCTGGTGGGTTTAACTTATAATTAATATAAATATATTCAAAGCATGACCGCACCTTGCTTTGTGTGTGTGTCTGTGTCTGTGTTTACAGCTTCTCATCCTTCACCCCAAAGCCCTTATTATTAAATTTCTCCTTGATATTCTAAGTTAACGGTATATAAATTTCAAGAATTTGTAAAATGTACTATCATATACTATTAGTACATTAAATTATACAATAATTTTCAATATAAATATAATATTTTGATTTGGTAATAATTAAATTAGATATTCTTTTCAGTGCGTTCCAATTGCTAAATAAAAAACAGTTCCTAAATAAATTTTCTTTTTCTAACAGTTAGTTAACTCAGATATATAAAAAAATAATCCAAAGTACGAATATTTTTGTTAGAATTAGGTCGAAAGAAAAAATTGTTAAATTCATGTTTGCGAAGTGAATTTCATATATATATATATATATATATATATATATATATATATATATATATATATATATATATATATATATATATATATATATATATATATATATATATATATATATATATATATATACTCTTTTTAAATATAAAACTATATTCATATACAAAATCAGTTTTGTTGACACAAATCTCAATAAATAAACCCGAATACATATATATGTGTATAGAAATTGTAAACGCAAATTAACTTCATTCTCATACACACATCTTGATGAATTTGTGATCGAAACATTCTACGAATCCACAGGAATGATGAACGCAATAAATATTTAGCAATTTCGCTGTGCTCAGTCACCATATATGAAATCGAAATAGAACTTGCGTACACTATAATTCCCAGCATTCATACCTGGCAAACGAATTCTCATGATTATCCACCGAATGTCCAAAGTAGAAGATTATAGAGAATTGTTAATTTCAACGAAAGCGTAACCGAGAGATTTGATTAAAAATTGTTAACATTCTTTCTATATTTATTCTTTTCGTTCATTCACATTTTTTTTAAAGTAAATGTGGATATTAATACATTTTTTTAATGAAAAATTTTTTCCTCATTACGTTCAACGAATAAAATTTAAAAATAAAAAGTATTTATTCAATTTTTTTCTTTCCTGAATGACAAAAAAAAAGAGGTGAACTTTAGCTATTGCGACTATTTTCTAAGAATCATTAACAAGTTCTAATTTTAATTGAAATTTTTGTTATTATACAAGAAATTTAATTAAAGAACACTGAGAATTCTGAATATGATAAATGTACAAAATGTTAACCAATCAGGCCACACTAATTAGCAGAAGAATCATATTTCAATTTTCAATTTAATGAAATATTGAGAAAAAAGAACTATTCAGTGTAGATGTGTTTAATTTGCATTTGAATTTATTTCTCTTAATTGTCATTTGTATTAGCTGTACCACTCATAAATTTTTGCGAGACATGTTTGTAAAGCATCAAAAATTGTAGAAAATGTACAGAGTATTATAAATTATTTTGAATTGAAAACGAAAGAAAAATTAATATCCAGCTTTATAAAAAATGTTCTTAAAGAAAAAGGTAATTCTAACTCAACGAAGTTATTGCACCCAAAAGGAGTAAATCCCCTCAAAGTTATGATCAACAATCCAAAAAAGCCGAAAGAAACCTTATTTTTCGTAAAAGATTTTCAAAAGATCAGAACTCAGTTCAATTCAAGTTATAAAATTACTGTTGGGATCACAACTGCAATTCGTACGGCAACGAAAAATTCGAAAATAATAGAACCACACTTAAAAAGAAAATTACTTGATAGCAATCATACTTTGGACCATATTTATTTCAATATAAGACTTTTAATTTCCTCAATGTAAAACAAAATTTTGTATCTACTTCTCCAGAATTGGTAGTTTAATGTACCGATCTACGATGATTAATTGATTTTATAATGGAGTCACGTAATTGTTACTAAAGATCATTTGAAATTTGTTATAGATGGAGGAGGTGGATTTCTAAATGTTTGTCTCAATATACAGTCAGGGTAGCGATTATGTATTTTGATTTAACTCTGACGTCAAAGTTATTGTCATTTTGACTTCGTAGTCAAATGTCATTTTTCGTAGTTTTACGTAAAATGATTGTTTTGATTTGTCAAATTGTAATATCCACAATTTATTTAGGAATTAAATTATAAAAAAGTAAAGTAAGTAATTTTAAACAGTTAAAAAAGCGGTATAATTAAGGAATTTTTATAAGATTAATAATTAGGTCAAAATTATTTAATAAAAAATTATTTCATCTGTCAACGGTAAGTATTTTTTAATGTTGAAACCAGGAATATTTTATAATTGTTTTGAATAATGCCTTATTTTTATTTTTATAAATGTAGTCAGAATAAAATAAACTAAAATATCAAAAACTAAAGAAGAAATAATGTCGTCTAAAAGATAATTCAGAACATAAAAAATTACTTACATTTGACCAATGAAATATTTTTTTCCTAAAATAATTTTAACTTAAATTAGTTTTCTACTGTTTTGAGCAAATTGAAATTTTGTACATAATTTATTGATGTAATTTAAAATAGAAAATACTCAACATAAATTATTATTAAAAATACTCAATTTTTTGGCATAATGTAATTGCAATTAATTCCTAAACATAAATTCAGTAACGAGACTGTTATTTATATTTGTGTAAATAAAAATTAACGATTA